TTTCCCTTTGCTCTGCTTTCCCAAACTCTTTCACTTTTTCTTCTCCCTGTAAATGGCCACCATGCCCCTTTACCGGAGAGACCTTGGCAGGCACATTCTGCCAGTGTGTGTATGTGTGTGTGTGTGTGTGTGTGTGTGTGTGTACACGTGTGCTGTATACTTGACTCCTTCATACTAATTATTACGCTCAGTAAAGGAATAATCAAACACCTAGATAGTGCAAATTCCTAGGATGAATTAACTTTCTCTTATTAATGCAGGTAAAAACCACAAAGTCTTTGGGCTCCACTTACATTTACGATGGTGTCCGCCACACACCCAGACACCAGCATTCTTCCTGCTGCGATAGACGTGATAGGCAGGCAGAGAGAGCATCAGTCTCGGACAGGGTTGACCTGGAGTCTGTCTGTGCGACCTGCCCTCTGCTTCCACAGCACAGCCTCTGCATGGACTGGCTAAGCTCCCATCATCTTGCACGCTCCAGAGTCCATGCTGAGGCCAGGCCCCTGTGCCCAGGCTCTCTTCTACTCAACCACAGTCCCTGGTTTCTGACTCAGGATGCCTGTGTCGTGTGCCACACCCCATGATACACAATCAGGCTGTGAGTAACCACAGGACACAGTCAGGCCCCAGGCTCACACGTCTCCCACCCACCTCCGTGACACACTCTACCCATGTTCCTACTTGCCCCAAAGGCATCCATGGGTCCGTGTGCAAAGTTCACAGCCTGCCCACAAGACCCTCCACAAACTGGTCCCTAACTGCAGCCTAAACCCACATTCCAGGCCTTTCCTCTGTCCACTCTCTCAAGCCACAATAACTGCTCTACCATCCTCCAAGTAAACTGAGCCCAGGAGTTACATACAATGTGCCCTGCTCTGGCCACAGATGCTAAGGATACTGAACATGGAATGATTAGGCAAATGCCCATCCTGAGGGAAGCTTCCCCAGTGTATCACCCTCTGCCTTTGCTCACCATTCTATGAGCAGCCAGCACCATGTAGACAAGATATCTGCCGTGTAGCTAAGTTTCTTGAAGCCGGTTATGGTGCTGCACCCCTGTAATCCCAACACTGGGGAAGGCTGAGGCAAGAGGACTGAAAGTTCAAGCCCAACCTGGGGAACTCAGTGACTCAGTGAGACCCTGTCACAAAATTAAGAATTAAAAAAAAAAGATCTGAGAATGCAGTTCAGGGGAATGGCCCTTTGTTGGATACCTAGTAGAGAAAAAAAAAAAACAAAAAACAAAAACAAGTAAGTTTCCTGACTGGCCCCAGGAATTCCTTTTACCAACCATGGTGCTCCTAAATGAGAGCTCGTGTATCTGCCTGAACAACCAATCATAAAGGGGCACCCTTCGTATCCTGTAGATGGGGAAACTGAGTCTGAAAGAGCTCTGGTGATGACACATTGCCCAGCCTCACATCCAGTAAGCACGAGGTCCAGGCCTCAGATTCAGAGCTGTTCGAAGCACTCTGGAATTGGCAGACTCTCATTTCTGACTTCTTGCTGGGTCCTCCGGAACAGCGCCCTGCCTCTCTACCTGGGTGTTTGCAGCTGTCAGTCCTGAGACTGGAGGCAATGTCTCCCTCTGGGACAAAACACTGGCTGTGCACTGTGGGCTGCAGAGTGGCAGATCCCCTGGAGGTGGGGTTCCTGGTCTATACTGCAATCTACCACATAGGCTGGCATCAGTGTGAGCTCTGCCCAGCCCCAGAGGTCTTGGGGGGGTGGGCAGAGGGAGCAGTTCAGGCTTATGTAGCCCAGAGAGTAATAAAGTTCCTGGCCTAGGATCCAGGTGTCTCATGCCCTCCACCAGCCTCCACAAAGCATGAATAGGCTGACATATTGGTTCCCAAGTGGAATAAAAATCAAATCCCAGGCTCTCCACTTCTGCTGTTCCTGCCTGTATATTCTCCAAGGATTTTATTATCAGTGGAATCACCCCTGTAGATGAAGGGACTGTCTCTCTCCTGCTCTTGCTGGGCTGGGAATTTTGTGTCTTAACCTATATGGCCTCTGGCCCCTTCCTCCTTCCTGGAGTCCCAGGAGAGTCGGATGTACTGGATGGAACAGACCAGGAGAAAATGAGTTTGATGGAAGGAGTGAGTGGAGCTTGAGCTAGTAAACATGTGAAACAAACATATTTAGGGCAGAAATTGGTGCAAACAGACAAGAGAGAGAAGCAAAAGTTTCCAAACATTTACATGTGTGTGGGTATGATCAGGCAGCAGAGAGCTGAACCAAGAACTCACTGGAGTTCGGCTAATGGAGCTCCAATTGCCCTTGAGAGAATACCCTGGGCTTATTAGTGTACTCCCAGTACCGGGCCCCTGGTCCCTCCCTCTCCCAGGGGCCTGTTTAATACTGAATAGCCAGACAAGTGGCTAACCCAGTGATGCTCACTGACCGCAGGGTGACCACCAGCTGCTTGTCCCATGGGAAGGGAGGCAGGGCTGGGTTCTGCATCTCCCAGGATGGACTTCTGCAACATCCCTTATAGGAATCTTGCAGGTGCTCACAGATTTGTGCTCCAGCGAATTGCTTTCTGGTGACTACTTTTCTGGCTGAATGAGATTAATTCAGTTAATGGAAGACTTAATAACTCCTTCTGGGGCCTGGAGAAGAGAGATCTATTCTATAGCTCCTGGAAATGAGTTTTAGGATCTGTAGTCACAGGTCTGGGTAGGGGAGGTGGCAGGAGGTCCAGCCTGAGGTCCGCAGGCAGAGTGACCAAGATAGCACCACTTTCACAGACATCTCTTTGCTGAGAGCCAGGAGTGACGCTCCCTGATGTCTGCCTTGGAGGCAAGCTTGCTGCATCATAGGGGAACACACTTGGAGGACACTTTCTGTTTCGTCTTCTGAGGCATGAGGGGATGGACAGGCGGTACTAAGACTGACCCCTATGGTCTCTGACTCCCCAAGTACTTCCCTTCCAGCATGCCCAGCCCAGGGCTGTCCAGAAGAGCCCGGCAGGTGTCAGCACTACCATATCACCGTGTGACCGATGATGGGGACGGAGCTCAGGCCAGGGAACCTGAGCTTGCTGGCCAGGTTGGTTCAGAGGGCCACTGGCCTCCGCAGTCTCATCTGTCCCAGACTCTGCCCACTGGGCCTCCGTCTCTGAGCTCGGTATGAGCTCTGCAGCCCAGGTTCCAACATCACTTTTTCCTCTGTTTCTGATGTTTTTGAATCTAGGCTCCTGTTGTTCTTGTAAAAATGGACTTGTAATAGCAGATAACAGTGTGTTTAAAATTGACTGTCCAAGTCATCTGAAGATGAGTGCAAGGCAGGTGTATGAAGCTGCTTCAGATTTCAGCAGAGTGGCATGTGCAGAAGATTAAAGCCAGCAGTTTCCTGTTAGAAACATGCCTTTCCTCTGCCCTGTGTAGTAGTCTGATTTTTTTTTTCTTTTTTATACACAACCTCAGTCCCTGCCTACAGGCACCATGGAAATAACGGAAAGGTACAAATGAGAAGCAGCTCTGTTGTTGGAAGAGTGGGAAGGACAAACTCCCAGAATCAAACTCAAAGGACTCGATGCCTGGCCCTCCAGGCCTATCCCCTGCCTCAAGGTCTTAGCACACAGCTTGCTCCTTGAGGATCTCCTTACCTACCCAGATCCCTATGGCTCCTTCCTTTATGGCACTCATGGCTCTGCCCAAATGCCCTCCTTAGTGAGGCCTTCCCTGGCCACCCATAAGCAGGATCCTGTCACTCTCCCTTGCTTGATAGCATTTCCTTCACAGCTTATGGTTTATACCTAGTTGTCCCCCTAAAGACTCATGTGCTCATAGATGGGGTCAGGTGAGCTGGCTGGTAAGTTTATAGCTAAATATACTGAGAGATGAAACCAAGTAGGAATGGGTCACTGGGGGTGTGGCCTGGAAGCATCTCCCTCCCTCCTGTTTTGATTGCTCTCTGCTCCCTGCCTGTCATGCCATGATCTGTTTTCCCTCAGGAATGCTCCTCTGCTATGCTGCTCTGCTTCACTATCAGCTGACTATGGACTGAAACCTCTACAAACTGTGAGCCAAAATAAACCTGTCCTCCTTTGAGCTATGGGTGTCGGGTACTGTGTCTCAGCGATGAGGAAAGAAGCTAAGACACAGCTTTAACCACGAAATGACACTCAACTGCATATCAACTACATATCAAATTACTTGTTTGCCTCCCTCTTCCTGGAGGGCAGGAAATTCATCTGTTTCCCACCACTTACCCTCACTATGCTGAGCACACTGGTAAAGACTTCAACAAATATTCACAGAGGGGACAGTGACTTGTGACACAGTGAGGTCTCCTGAGCCCAGGGAACAAAGGTTCCCTGTAGTTTGTGCTACCCAGCAGAGAAATGGCTCTAAACCTTGGGCCTTTGTGTTAGGGAGTTTCCTGTCTCAGTGCCCTGACTGAGAAGACCAGCTATCCTTGGGGAAAAGGCAGAATTCAGCCTACACATGTCCTCTAGTTTATTCAAAAACTACTAAACCCAAAATATACAAAATGCCACCATGTAACTGCTCAACCACCCAGGAGGAGTGGAGAGTCCTGCCCACCGAACCCCTCTGTGGCTGGGGCAGAATGTGAGGCAAGCAGCACGAGGGTGGGGAAGAGACACCCGGCCCCTGATGCCAGGGCTCTGGTTCACAGAGTGCCTGACCCCTAGATCCTTGGGCTTCCATCAGTCAGAGGGACTCATTCCTGAACCCTGGGAGCTGGGGCTCGGTGGCTGACCTGGGCACGGCACCCATGGGGAACAGGATTATTTCCACCAGACACTATCTCCCTTCTCGTCCCCAGTGGTCTTCCCTGTGGCCCCAGGAATTGAAGTGAGATTATCAAAATGAAACTGTCCCCTAGAGTCTTTCCTAGAGAAAGCTTCTACTCTTTGATGCAAGAAGACAAGCAGGTCAACCAGTCTCAGGCAAAGGAGGAAAGCAAGTCAGAGCACTTTCTAGAGTCAAAGAAAGCTGTGTGCAAATCCCAGCTCTGCTACTTACCTGCTATGTGACCTCAGTGGAGATCCTTAATCTCTCTGAGCCTCAGTTTCTCTATCTGAAAGACAGAAACAAGTGGTCAGATTTACCACTCGAAGAAAGCGTGAGGATCTCATAAGAGAGCTTCTCTAGCAGGCTCAGCTCAGAATCGCAGTTATGAACAGCCAATACAAAGTTGTCTTACTTTGTCAGCGTGGGGAGAGAATGCACAGTTACCTAAAGGACACCGGACGTGAGTGAGGGTGTTTGCAGGTTCAAAATTTCCTGCCGTTCAAAACTTCCTGTTGCAAACCCCAAAATGAAGACTCTGCACACAGATAGCTAAGATCACTTCCTGTTCTGTAATGCTGAATTTGGAGCGCCTGCCCTGAAGACCTGCAAAACTCCAGGCAGTGAAAAAGATGAGTCAAAGCTGTCCCAGGAGGATGAATATACAGAATTAGAGGAAAGGGCACCCTTTTCTGGGACCTGCTACACACTAAACCAACACCTCACTGGTCCAAAAACAGCCTGATAGCCGCCGCCAGGCAAGGGGGGGGGGAGGCAGCTCAGAGAGGTGGAGAGGAGAAGAGCTGGCCCCAGTGTGGGGGTGGATGGGGGGGTGAGGTCAGAGATCAGAGCTGGCCTGGAGCTGGATCCCAGGACACAAGACAAAGACTCATCTCTCTCCTGACAGAGGCACCTGCTACAGGTCATACGTGGCACGTGGCTGAAACAGGCACGTGCTCTGACTCTGGAACATTCTTTCAACTGGCAGGAAACCACTGGGCATATTAGGAGAGAGGAAGAATGAACATATGAGAGTCTGAGAGGTGGTGTGATTGTCATATTAGCTTCTGTCCCAAGTGCTAAGGGGAACAGGGAAGTCATTAAGCAACAGTGCTGCCTGTGTGCTTGCAGCAGCTGTGGCTGCAGCTCCTGTCACCTGCGAGGTGTGTACAATGTAGGAGGGAAGGAACTTTCTGAATGTGGGACTTCTGCCTCTTCCGCTCCCCTGGACCTGTGGCCATGAACCTGAGCTGGCTGTAGTCTGTGGCAATAACGGGAGATGGGGCCCAAGGACACTCCTGGGACACATGTGGCTCTGCCAGTCGAGGGCAGTGAATCCTTCAATGAGCCACCTCACCTTGCTGAGCGCCAGCTTCCTCAGCTGTGAAGGGGCAACAGTGCCGGCTACTTGGGGATGCCAAGCCAATTCAGAAGGGTAAAAAACCCGAAGTGCTCAAAACAGGCTAAATGGTCTCTATACCTCATCTACTGTGACCAACATGACCACCACCACCACTGTCATCACTGCGGTCACCATCATCATTATCATCATCACACTGTCACGACTGTCATCACCATCATCACCATCTAGGCTGGGCCAGACATTCACATCTCAAGAGAGGCATCTTGATCCCATTTCCTAGATGAGGAAGCTGAGGCTGAGAGGGTCAAAACACTCTGGATCAGTCATCACACCAGCAAGGGATCAGCTGTGAGCTGAGGAGAGGCCAGGAACTTCACATGATACTCAGTTCAACCCTGCAGTGCCGGGCCACACAAGGGAGAGGACTCAGAAAGACTAGTTTTCCCCACACACTCTGATCTCTCCCTCTGTAGCTGATGGAAGTTCTACTGAGTAAAAAGCCTCAGACCCATTCCCCCAGGCAAGGCTGGATGTGGGAACAGACACACGAATGGGGAGAGCGAAGTCAGCACAGGTTTCCAGCGCTGCCATGGAACCCCAGAGCTACAGGAGCCAAGTGCTTCTGGTCTGTGCATAGCTACTCCAGTGCCAGAAAACACTCAATCCCATGGTCAAGGCCTCGGTAGTGCTGCGACCACTGGTGAGAGATGCTCATCCATCCCCAGCCTTGCCACAAGGGTCACCACCGTGCTTGATGGGACACAATGTCTGTGGGAGGGGTTTTGGGGGGACACTGACACCTTGAACTTCACAGGAGCATTTATGTAACTGTCTCTGAGCTCCTTCTGGTCTGCACACTGCCCAGCTGCTCTGGAGCATAAAGCCTGTGGAGACTCTGCTGTCGAAGCAAACTTTGTCCCAGCTGATGATGATGCACCCAGAGGCACAGAGCAGGTCCACAACATGGTAAAGAGTCCAGCCTGGGGCTGAGTTAGTGCTGGCTGCCTCCTGCCACCTGTCTCCTGCCTCATGGTATGAGTCAAGACTTTTCCTAGAACCTAGAATGTGCCAGGAGTTCGGATGGACTTCAGAACCCATAAATGTGAACCCATTGAGACCTTCTCCATGCAGACATGGCCAATCAGTAAAAGACGGGATGCACTACAGCCAAGGCACAAAGTGCAGCCCCATTTCCTTGGTGCATCCTCAGGGGCCAGACACTGTCCTTAGGGCTTTACCCACTTCAATCAAGACGGCATCCTAAGGAAAGAGGACCTGCTGTGCACTGAACTGCATCCCTCCTCACACCTACATACAGGCCTCACCCCCAAAGTGTCTGTGCCTGGAGATGGGACCATTAGGAATACAACAGGGTTAAATGAGGCTGCAGTATTAGGGCTGACTCTGGTGAATGGAGCCCTTGTCAGAAGATGAAGAGACACCAGAGAGACCCCTTGCTGAGGGGAGAGAAGAGAGAGAGACCTGTGAGGATGAAGCTGAGTAGGGTGTCTGCAGCCATTCTTCCTGGGTGAGATGGTGTTGTTTTAATTTGCCTTTATCAAATGTCAATGATATTGAACGCTGTTTCATGTATTTATTTGCCATCTGCATTTCTTCATCTGAGAAGTAAGTATTCATCTCAAATGCCCATTTTTGGATTACAAAAAAAGCTATCAGAGCCAGAAAGAGAGCTCTCACCCTCTGACCCCTCAATTAGCCTCCAGAACTGTGGGAAAATAAACTTTGGTTTGTGAAGCAGCTCCCAAGGTAGCTCCAGTCAAACGACACAGGGCAGTACCTATCTTCCCCATTTGTCAAGCACAGAAACTGAGGCCAGACATTTGGTTACCAAGCCCAGCAGTCGATGGACAACTGTAGCTGCAGATATTCATCCCCAGAGCCCCCTCCTTGTGAAACCATGATACTTCACCGCCCTGCTTATATCAGGCCTGGCCACATCACTTGCTTGTTGAAGAATGAGCAGTCCACTGAGTGTCCTCAGTGCACAGAAGCTGCAACTGTGACTGTATGATCCTTTAGGTCTGACCCAAGTCCTAGGGAATGACTGTCTTCAGCCTGGACCTGGGTCAGACAAAACTCTTACCACAGTAACACATTATAGACAGCCTGTAGTAACCCAAAGCTTGTTTACTTAGAATGTGAACCAGATTTGCTACAAGTCATTGATTTTTGAGAGCTGTTTGTTATTGTAACAAAGCTGACCAACACAAGGCTTCTTTTGCAATGACTTTATCTTTTACTAGCAAATGTTTGAACTCTAAGAACTGAATAGATGGTCAGAATATCTTCATGCTACTGAGTCTCTGTATTTAATAACTGGTGGCCATAAACAAGCCACCTTACTTCTCTGAGACTTTGTTTACTGATCTGCAAAATGGGAATGCTGAGAGTATCTGCATCCTGAGACTGCTGCAAGGCTTCAAAAAGAGTTGTAAAGGTACAAATTCCTGATGCACAAGAGGAGATTAATATGGGTAGCAGCTGGGATAGCAGTATGAGGGCTGAAGACAGACAGAACTGAATAGGAAACAAAGGCTGCTCTTCTGGCACATCTTACCACAGGTGCTCCCTCAGGTGCATGGCATGGGAGCTCTGCACTGCTGTGGGCAAGGGACAGGCTAGTACCACCCAAGGAGGCAACAGGAAGTGGGCTTGGGAGGATCAGATAAGAGAGGCAATGGGCCTTTGTGCAGGGAATGCTGGGCTCTCCCAGGTCCAGTCCTACAGACACCAAAGGGAAGGGAAGGTGAGAAGGCATGTGGAGGGTCACACTCCTCATCCTCCAGTCTCAGTTCTTAGTCGAGAAACTGAGGCCTGGTAAAGAGGGAGTGCCTTCCCCAAGACCACACAGACAGACAGTGATCTTGGGCTACAGCTCTAGTCCCCCGAGGCAAGGATGGGCACCATTGCACTCACTTAGCAGGAAATGAGACTCATTCTGTTGCTGGCTTGGAATCCAATGTCAAATTTCGCCACCTGTGTGGGTGGATTTACAGATCCCTGCTGAATTCAACAGGCTCTTCTTTGATTCACTTCACAGCATCTCCTCTCCTTTCTGGGAAGAGTCAAACCTACCCATAGGCTTGCTAGATCCAGGTAGGGAGTGGGTGGCAAGCTGGACATCAGCTCAGGCACAAATGAAGGAGTACTGGTAGCCTCTGGTTGGTGTCTTGGGCCCTTCGTTTTGGTGCTCTGTGACAGGGGGAAAGTGATCACAGGAAGTCCTGGGCTCTTCCCTCGTCCTCCAGGACTCCACAGAATGAGACACTGGGTGGGGCAGGCTGGAGGGAGGAGGAGAGGGAGGTTGGCAGGGCCAGGGAAGCTGGGAAGAATTCCACAAGGTGGGGAGTGCAGCAGAAAGGGAGCAGGGAGGACAAACACCCCAGGCCATGATCTTTGCTTCTGTCTTGGGGAAGGGAGGCTGGTCAAAGGCAGCAGAATCCACGCCAGGAGGGTCTGAGGGGCAGGGAGCAAGGAGCCTCCAATTTTCTCATGTGGAAACTGGAGAAACTGAAGCTAACTCCGCAGACTGCTGGGCACAGTCAGTGCACCGGAGAAATCTCAACACAGACGCTGCAGACCTGGAGGCCAGGCCGGCTGGAACACCTAAATGCCTGTGGTGGCCTCGCTCTGGTCTCTCCTCTCAGAATGCGTACAACCATGGCGCACAGCATCTCCCTCTGTAGGTGGTTCAGGCTTGCTCACCACCATGGGCTGTAATTCTCCTTCCAGAGGAAAGGGGGTAGGAATCTGTCTGTGGACACTGGGGACCTTGGGTAGTCAGACCCAAACCAAGGAAATGAAAACCTGAAACCACCTTCCCAGCAAAGTGACTCCAGGGGTCACCAGGAGTAACCCGCTACCCAAAGAAAGTCAGGCACCTGCCTCATGATTACCAATTCCTC